TATTTTATGTCGATTTCCTTAAATTTTTAATTTGTTAATTTCACCTCATGAATATAATGAAATTACTCTTCCATCTGCATCTGCATGCATCTGAATCATAACCTCGTCAGCGTTGAAGCAGGAGACTAATAACACCAGTCGTTTTTGCTAATAATTTAGAATGGGCGTGCTACATGATATTCAAATGCAAAAGACATTTTAGGCAATTAAATGCTAAAAAATCAAGCGGTGCATCGTAAATCTGACGACTTCTCGTATTCGAGGAAAGAATCGTGAAGTATTTTAAAGGGTCTGCCTTCGAACAATAAAATCGTTGGGATAGAAGTGGTTTCCAATTGAATGTAGATTATATACTAGTAACCATTTTAAAGTTCCATCTGATATTAAAAGTGTAACAGTAAATTAATGTAGTACGTGAAGCATGAGTGGAAACAAAACCCTCGTTTTGAAATATATATATTTTTTAAACAAAACAAAAGGTTCGTCTGATTTTTGAAGTTTTTTAAAGCAGATAAAGCAGCAGTTAATCTCATTATTGATGTTCTTGAAGTTTTACTACGGGCAGTAACAATTTACCTGGTGGGAAACGAAGAAATCTTCTCAATAATGCACCAAGTTTCAATAAGGGTTCAAGTTCAATCGAGTCCCACGCGAAAAGTGTACATAGAAGGTACTGCATTGTATGAAATTATTATACTGGTATGACAGGAACATCGCCAGGAAACTCTCCAAGGATGTCTNCCAGTTCGGCGGGTTCTCCAAACGCGGAAGCAGAAATCTCTCTGGGAGCATCGCCGTTCGTGGAACGCGAAGTCGAAATTCAGGAAATTGTGGCGGAAAGATCTGCTTTGAGAGACCTCTGCCCGAGGCTAAAACCAGAACTTGTGGATATTTGCACAGGACCTGATTCACGTCTTCCCCTGAGTCCCGTGTCAAACAGGAGCCAGTCAAAAACATCGAATATCCCGAGCAGGTACTATACTGCATATTGACAGGAAAGTGGAAAACGTTTTTATTTGGCATAGCTTTCATTTTCACAAATGGAAGAAATTACTGTTATCAGAATTTTTATTTTGCATGAATGCATGCAATTCTATCTTATCTTATATTCCACTGGCATGCCAGTGTATAAGATAAATAAAAAGCATGTGAATTAATGTGCAAAAAAATTGATGTGCAAACTTGCTATAACTTTTCTCATTCTGACATTTTTGACTCCTACTGTCCTTTAAAACCAACTCATTTGTGAATTAAGGTTTCTCTTCTAATATGTATTTGTTCAATTTAAATGATTGAACAGATTTCACGATAAAAATTACTTTTTTTTTGGTAACTGTCGCCTGGTTTTTTTTTTCTATGACAGCATCATTTTTGCCCCGTAAAATTTGTGGCGTAGTTATTTCGTAGGCCGTCTCAATATTGAATAAGGCTACGAGAGGTCAGGTTAGAATCATCTAGCAGATTGCAAATTCTGTAGTTGATTTTCTTTAGTATAAAAATGCTCATTACTCGCGCATTCGAGGTTTAGATCGTTATCAAAGTTTTCTCTGCTAAACTCACTTATTTCATATTTGCTAGTATTATAAAAACCAATGGAAATTGCAGATGGATGATTAAAAAGAATGCGTGCATCAGTAGGTCGGAAAGGTCTTCGAAAACATTCAAAAGGCGACTTGAGGATGAGATGGACAAGCGAGAAATTTGCGCGGGTCCTGATACCCCGCTGCCATCTGTGCCAATGTCGATTCGCAGTGGACCCCGAACCTCCAGCTGCAAGGCTCTCAGCCCTGGCTCGGAAAGAAGTCCGAGGAGATCCTCCAGATCCTCTGATCTCCTTCCGGTTTCACCTGGCATTAAAAAAAACAACAGCTATCAGTCTTCCGGGAGAGCCAGTGATGGTAATTTTTCAGTGTGGTATTTAAAACTCCGTGGGTGTTATGAGCTATATTGAGAGGTTTTCTTTATGTACCGCCTAAATTGTAAGCATTATGCTGTTCTTCAGTCGATTTCTTCCTTTCCAGCATATATTTTCCGACTCTCACTCATATGAGTGTCAAGTAATTTATTTAACCCTTAATTATATAGCCTGATACCCTTGGTTTTTTCTTTCTCACTTATTATTTCAAGCGATACATTATTTGAATTTTTCTGAGATGGAGCTTTTGCAGTACAGTATATTAACCATGCTGAATTACAATCGATCTTCAATGTCCCGTATTTCATCCTGGTTTTTTGGATATTAAATTTTAATGGGCGTAACTTTTTCAGTGTAAAATTAAATTATTTTCTAGACAAAGTTCCACTGCTTATTCGCAAATAATGTACATTAATGAAAAACTGTTAATTGAAGGATGTCCTATAAAATTCAGGAAATGAGAGAAATTTGCCGTTCCATGACTTATGCATGCAGTCAATTTGAGAGTTACCGTACACAGGATTTGAAGTAAGAGGAATTTTTTGCATCTTCATGTTCTCAACATCTGGAAAGAATGGTTTGATCAAATAATTTGAGAGAATTTTCCAATATTTGTGATGCTTAATGTAAGCGTTGCCTTTCAATTAAAAAAAGTTAAGCTGTAACTGGTGCTTGGGTTTCCAAAGAACTCGATTTAAACGCGTTGACAATTTTTTTACATAATGTCTCGCTGAAATTCAGAATTCACGCTTGAAGATACTGTACTTCACTTTTACATGGATCAATTAAAATACAGACTTTTCTGCAATTTCAAGTCAATTTTTCTGAAGGCAGGATCAATTAAAACAGCGTAATTCAACTTTCTTTGAAGAAGCATTCTCAAAGGACGCTTGCAAATTATTTAATCATTAGTTGCAGAAGAATCCATGATGTCTGAAGACGAAAAGGAGATGACAACCAGGCGTACATCCGAAGACGTCAAGGAAGTGGTAACGATGAACTCATCTTCCGAACGTGATTCTTCCATTTGCAAAAGGTCGAAGAGAACGTCGAAAAACAGATCGTCGAAATCCGTGCGATCAATCAAGCTGACCCAGAAAATAATGACGACGAAATGCCCCAAGAATAAACGCGAAGCCCCGAAAAGCCTCAGCAAGAATGACGCCGAAGTCCAGTATTCCATCAAACCTAGCCCAAAAATAAGCCGGTCGTCACTCGTTCGTGACTGTGGTGTCCAGTATTCCCGAACTGGAAGCCCTAAAATAAGGAACGACGTCAAATGCGCCCCAGTCGTGCAGCAAACCAACAGCAGGATCGGCATTAATTGCAGCATCACGCCGAAGCGAGGGAATAAGCCGAAAATCTCGACAGAGAACAATACAATTCAGAAAGTGCGAATCTCGACGGCTGTCGAGGCGTCGGAAACGCCGAAAGTAATGAGCGCGAAAATGTCGTCTCCGATGCCGATCGAATCTCCAGTCAAGAAGGAAATGCTGTCGAGAAAGACGTCACCGATGCCGATCGCATCTCCAGTCTTGAAGGAAATGCTCTCGAGAAAGACGTCACCGGTTCCGACCCAGCCTCCGACCCCGATTGACCAGGAATCTGAAGAGGTCCAGGTCAACGAAGACGACTTCGAAACCGACACTTCGGTTGAATCGGAGAAGGTGTCGATCCAACCCTCGAGTCCTGAAGATGTTGTCGCCTTTGAAACAAAGAAGTGTGAGTTGAGCTGGGTTGAAGAAACAAACTCTTTTCCATCTCAAGAATTTTCTTAACGAAGCTATTA